CACAGTCCGTCGTCCAAGAACAGTAGTGGCGAGTTTGATGCACCCCGGAAGTTCTCTCGTTTCTTCTCAGGAAGCGCCACAAAGAAACGACAGCGGTTGGTGATGGTCACATCATCCGGGCGAATCATTCTGGCCGCATCAGGTGGTGATGATAAGAAGATAAAGCTCGAGATTCCCCTGCTTGCTCCGGGGACAAGTTACAGAAGTACGACGGATTCTAAAGGAATTTCATCCTGGATTGTGGACACGGTATGTACTTCATCCTTTATCGGTCAAAATGACATATCTAACGACACCCCACAGAGAGAGAAACATTATGTTTTCGAGGATCCCAAGCCATCCGCAAGCAACGCCGGCGCCACAGCGATCCAGGTACAAGAATGGCTGGACGCATTGGACAGGTCTCGGGAGATGTCACAGGAACAAAGCGCAGGCTTCTCCGACGATGCATTCCGCGACCTTTCCTCTGGGTTCCCTAGTCCCGCCAATACGCTAGACCGCACATCTGACATGCAGAAAGACGATAGAGGCCCACCATCATCTGGTCGGAATCACCTAGTGAAACAGCAGGCCACCGATAGCGAGTCAACGAAAGGAAGGAAACGATTTAGCAAGCGACATTCGAAGAATGGTCTCGCTGCGGTGTTCTAATGACATCGAATAAGAACGACACATATTGCGATCCATATATCCACGTGCCAATTGCCTTTCGGTTTTGTCGGTTTGATACCGACTTTCTTATACTACCTGCCTTCGCACCTCGCTATCTCACCATTTGAACACACCTCCACCTGTCTCCCCGCGTCTCTTTTTTTCATTTCTCTTCCCATGCACGGGCATTCGCACAAAGATGGGTTATCATCTCAGCGTATCGGTTATCCTACCCTTTGCATATTCCAGTGACAAGCGTGTTCTTCTGTTTGTTTGTGTTCTTTGCTGGGGAAACATGTTTCTTGCATTTAGATCTGGAAAGGAGCGCATACTTTTTTTCTTTGCCTGACTGCCTATTTCAGACAGAATACCGATTTTCCTTTCCCTTGTCGTTTGCTATGTCTTCCGCTGTTATATATCCCTGATTTGGCCTGAAGCATCACAACATCGAGCCTTTTTCTGTTCGGCTATTTTCATTTCTTTGTTGTTCCTGGTGAGTTATCAGGCTTTATTGAGGCTGACTTATTGATTATCTTTGAAAAATATGAAATCAAGACTGATACGCCCGCGTCCTCATTCCCCTCCTCATTTTCTTATACCTCTTGGTGTGTTGTTTTAGGGCAAATTTGCACAAAAGAATACTTTCCTTGCTTCGATATCGTCATATCTCTCCTTGTGTCTCTTGTTTTCCTTGGTCCCCAGGTTCCTTACAGTGGCATCTTGGTTTGGCCGCATTTTCATTGTGATTTTCTTGCTCGCTTCATTCCTCTTCGAATTCCATCCTTTGTCTCCCCTCTTAGTATCTGACTTTCTGTCTCTTTTTCCTTTGCTCTAGGCTGAGAGATGATATACCCGATTTTCCTATTCCGAAATCATTATTCAACCGTCTTGCTACAATTCTTATATATGTTGAAATCCATAATGAAATACTGCGCATTCCAAGCAGAGTGATCTTGAACAATGTACTGTTTGATAGATAACTATATACAACTAAGGAGACAAACTAGATACAAGTAGACATCAGTCATAAGCGGGAGACCCGTGGACATCGTCCCCCAGATTAGATGAACAGCCAGTCGAGGCTTGTATGATCTAGCTCCTCAATCCAGTCAAACTCAAGATCAGAATCATTATTATCATAACCATTCTGATGCTCACGGCGCTTGAGATCCTGTTTCTGCCACATCAGACGCAGGACCCACGCAGCATTGCGGACATTAACACTCGTCATGGCCTCATAGAGTGAACCGAGCTTTTCAAGGATAAGAGCCCGCTGCGAAGGGCGACACTCCGCGCCAGCAATGAAGGTGGGCCAGATGAGACATTTGAAGTGGGAGTCCGAAGGGGGGATGAGGGAGATTTGGGTGATGAGATTTGTGGCGATGAGTCTATGGTCGGGTGGGAGGCCGACATTTATCCATGGAGGCGAGAAGCCTTCTCTGGTGCGCGAGAGAACACGGCTTGTGTAGAGGTAGACGGCGTCTTGGTATGAGGTTGCGAGTGCGAGACGGTAGGTTAAGTTTGGGATGAAGAAGACATTTTGCATCTCTTGGCTCCATGCTACCGGGTCGAAGTCGCGGATTCCTTGGAGGAGGCTGGCGAATGAGTCTAGGGTGAGGGGCTGACCAGGTTGGATTGGGGTTGGCAGCGCTGTTGGTTGGGGGGTCATGGCGGCGGCTTCGGATTCTGGATACCAGAGGGCGTGGACGAAGAAAATCACTCCCAGGAGATAGGCGGGACATCCGACCCAAGAATTTTCCTCGAGGCGCTTGAGGATCTCTGGGCCCATGGATGAGGAGTAGAAGGGCTTTGAGAGCGCGCCTGGCCGAGCGAGCGTTGATCCCATGATTTCCATTCTGTATGGTCAGCAAGAACTCTTCGCTATAGGCAGAGACCCGAAGCTTACATTAAACACCCGTCAAGGGCAAAAGCGTCGAGGTCATCGAGAATTCCTTGTCCCGGGCCACTTTCAGGGCGGTCCTTGAGAAGCTTCTTCGCACCCTCGATATGATAACTCCAGGCCCCGCTGCCGGACTCGAATATGTCTATGAAGGCAAGCAATACGATAGCAGCTAAGGTCCTGCCGTCCTTCTGCATCGCCGGGTTGAGGAGATCCATGGATAATTGGCGAAGGGCGCGGTGCTTGTACTCCAAGAAATGATGATAGGCCTGCGAAGCGGGTTTTCGAGAACTTGCCGGTGCAACAATATCTTCAATCTCCTTTACTGACATTGATAGATTGCCTGATGACCATGGTAGGACAGATGAGTCCGATTCTGATACAAGGGAGCAATGAAGAGCCCCAAGAGCAGCGATGCTGCTGGCAAGAACAGGAGAATGATTGACCAATGCAGTAAGATCTCGGAACGGATTTTTGTGTTGGGAGTAAAGGGCGAAGTCATTAACCATATATTGATTGTCTTACAAGTAATCGTCAGTGGAGCCACAGATAATGCACTGGGGAATTCTCACAGTGATGTACATAGTACCTTGAGAACTGACTGAGATCTTTGAGCAGTGGATCTACCAGTCCCCATGGCGTTGGAGTATAGTCAGCGGGAGGAGCGCCCCGAGGAACATGAACAACTGCGGTGTCCTGTTCCTCGTGTGTATTGACCTCCAAGTGCGCAATTTCTCCCCCGAATGTTGGATTTTCCGTCTCAAAAGTCCATCCATCGGTCTCCGGACTAGGCTGTTTCCCAGAGCTGTGCGATTCGGCATCGGACGAGGATTCGGGGATAGAGAAAAAGCCGAACCCGCTGCTCGCTGCAGTCGAATCATATATATGCGTAGCTGGCTGGCGCTTTGGCTTGCTAGGCGGTATTCCCACGTCATCAAAGCTGCGGCCCATCATCTTTCCTCGACTAGCCACACCACCCTTGACCCAAACAAGCGGTTTCTGATACCCCAGACATTCCTTCCCCGCATCTCGACACTTCCGACAGGTGGGTTGGCCATTGTCGCAGATAATGCGACGTCGTCGACAGGTATAGCAGCCTTTGGTCATTCTCTGGGCGTTGTGAGACAAACGTATTTTCTGAACTGGGTAGCGAAGAACTGAGCCACTTGTGAAGTTTGTTCAGCGCCACTCTCCATCATCGGTAATGGTCAGGATTCGGAGGCAGGATGTCGACAAAGCCACACGACCATTTCTAGTCGTTTAGGAAGTGACTCTGGCGTCGACAAATGTCATAAACCAAGTTGTCAATCCGTCATGCTCCACGATCTCTTGGATGGTTCAGAGAAGCTTCCAAAATTTGCGGGGAGGATGACTAAGATAATCTTCCGACGATCGAGACCAGGACTGTTCAAGCTTCTTGCATCTCAACCTTCTACTTGCTCTTCCATATCAGTTACACCTGAAAGCTCATGGTCGAATGCTAGAAGAACTACAAGATGGTTTTGAATCTCTTGTTCCGAAGTCTGGAGGTAAGTGCTTTCGCCTTCGCCACTCCGATCTTCACTGACATTGTTCGAACTTAGATCTGGCTCACTGTCCGAGTACGTTGCTCCAATATTGATGTATTTTTGCTTGAGCTTGCATTCTAATACGATCTACACAGCTCCTTCGAAGTCCGATCTTCCATCGTATGGTGGGCCGAGTTCACCAGAAAGTTCAACATATTAGGTACGGGGTGCCTCCGGAGGAGCAGGGAGGCACTCATCTCGAGGGACAAGGTATGCCTGGTACAAATATTTGGTGACATAGTGTGGCTGACCTGTTCTGATTAGATATGAAGTACAAAAAATTCCTTGAGCATTTCAAGGAAGAGCTGAAGGACCAGATGAAAGGAAACCCGCGGAACAAATTTTAATACCCCGGCGCTTGTATGATACGAAAACTGATGATACCCACATGAAACCGATACATATTATATGCTTTGCTTTTACCTTCCGAAAATCTGGATTTGTGCTTCCTATCATCATTTTGACCCTTGTGTCGACACCGGGTATACAGTGGGATACACTTTCGCACTCCTTGGGTTGCATCCCTTGTTTAATCCGGAGAATGAACTTGATTTGAATCATTGACTTGCCCCTTCTACTATTCCCGGCTGTATTTGCAGTCAGGCTGGGATCCAATAACTGGGGCATATATATCGAGTTTCGGGATTGCTCTGAAGGATGCGCTGCAGTAACCTTGGCTACAGACGCAATCAAGATTCGTCGAATTGCTATATTTACATGTATATATTGTTGCTAATTTCGTGCTACTGAATCAATCAGCAAAGCAGATTCCAGCGTGTCTATTTCTTCAAAAAATATGAGAAAAAGTACAGTCGCGATGAATATCACTTTGAACCATTCTTATTAGTCTAAATGACTCGCCGAATACCAATGCAAGCCGATCATGCTGAAGCCGAACCCTTCCTCGGTCTTGGGGTCACTTTTCGGTGATTCACATCCAGTCGTCTCCTCATAACTCGAACTCGGGCCAGCTCAAGTGAATTCTTCACTCTAGCCAGAACACGTCGAAGGACAATTGGTCTGGCAGGCCTCCAGAAGACCTTCTGTATTTCCCGGGGGCTGGTCCGCATGAATATGACCTCAACCACCTGCAGCTTTCCGTCTCTCGGGCTCAGGCTCGGACTCTGAATTCGTTTCTCTTTTTTTTCGATGTTGGTAAATGCAACGAACTTGCGTCTACCAATTTGCTCGGTGTGTAGCCATTCCAGCTGATTTTCATTGCCGAAGAAGGTCACGGAGAGCATATTTCCAATGATGTTCAAATAATTCTCGGTGTCGTACTCATTGGAGATATCGGCATTGGAATCCATGTTGTTCTTGATTTTTCTGTCGGATAGACTAGTTCACGTTAGTATTCGTTGCAAACTTAAGGTGGGGTACAGATCAGTTGGGATGGTACTCACTGGGCGACAACGTGTGTAATATTCGAGAGATTGTAATCCTTGAATTTGCTTTCGTATCGAACGTCGAGGGCGGGAAGCGAGGTTGTGATATCTTCGGGAGAAGAGTGTATATCGGCCATGTTTCTTTTGAGTTGGGTAGACGGAGTGTGGAATAGAGTCGTATGGCATACGCTAATTTTGGATGTGCTAAAAGCTCTAAATGTCGAATGAACGCTGAATTTGCTGCAGATATGCTCAGTGGAGCTGTTATATGCAAGGTTAGTGAAGTCAAGTTGAAATACCAGACAAGAAGAATATATTTATATTGAGAGCTCCCGAGGAGCAAAAGGAACAACAAAGAGAGACTAGATTCATAGTGAAATGAATAAAGAAATCATAGGTCTGGAAACAGATCAAGTCGCACTATTTCCATCTCACTGCATGGCTATTATGGGATATTTGCCCTTTGTCGCCCTTGGCGAGGAACGAGAGCTGCCACTTGTTTTGAGCATAAAGAAAGATCCAAATATAAGGCTGCTATACTTTTCAATTATGCAGCGCTACAAGACGGAGTCTTGAAGTAGAGGCTCCGCTTTGTATTACCCCTTTGTTGTCAAGACTTCAAACAGCTTCTTGTCGATCGCTCGGCTCTCGAGATGCTAGGTGAAGGAATTCTTTGCATCTATAATGATGAGGTCTCGGTATAATGAATCAGCGGTAGCTTTTGCTAATCTCATAGGGGGAATGTTGGGTATCAGAAGCATCTCGACATCTCCAAATACCCTCAAGAGCCGGGACCATCATGTCGCCAATTTGACACATAGTGAAGGAATACTCCATTCAACTACTCCGTACTTAAGATTAGAGCTACGTATATGCGGGGACATCGAATAAGGGGAAGATTCGTAGTCAGTCAGTCAGTCAGAAGTAATAGTCGACTACTTCATTGAACTAATTTTACTTACTCCGCACATTAGCCTCAAATCTACGCAGTGAATGCGAAACGTTTGAGGTCAACCGGTCTGTTAACGCTTGTCGGAACGGGCATCGATACATCGCCGCTCATCCTAGGGCAAGAGTGAAAGAAAAACCCTTCTACAACTTGCATTACCGAGGTCTTCCCGAGGTCTTCCCAACATGTCTGACCTGAACAACAAATAAGCAGCCCTTAAGTGGTTCCAGAAGAGGCCGGAACCCCGAAATTCAGGCTGTCAGCGGCACGCCACATGGACCAATTGGGGTTAGGCGCAAAGGACTCCAGTTTCCAGGTCAACTCCGGCTGTGTCGGCTTTGTAAAATTAAGAGTCGAAAGGGGGTCCAGGTACTCGAGGGATTCGTGCTACCTGACACAGCACGGAAATCCCTGCAGGCTAGGTATTTCGCAGGAAGATGACAACCGTTGATTAGGCGACTAGTGGTGACAGGGTGGTATTGATGCAAGATGTCATACGGCGGCTTGATGAATGCCAATGATATGTGGAAGATCAGAGGCAGATCATGGGAGATGTGCTAAATATGGAGGGGGCAAGCGGGAAGCGAGGGGTACGTCGTCAGACCTGTTCCACATGTTAGATTCCTCTTTGGTGGTATATACAACATAGGTTTTGAGGTCATTCTGCTTATTCACTTATTCGCTGAATTCTCTAACTATGGTCTCATATGTATTCGACTGTGAAAAAAACCAAATCTAAAATAAAACATTTGCACCCACGGGACAAACGTCTGCGCGACCCAGTCGACTCCGTACCGTGTTTCCTATTGCAGGATCGGCCAATCAGCGGCGCAGGTGCCTCGGCGCGTGGATCTGGTCTGAGACTAGGGCGGCCCCATTCGGCCTAGCTCCCTTTCAAAGTTCGGGACAAACACAGCCCAAAGGCTGCCTTTTCGCTTTGACTCCTTTTTCATTTTCCTGCATATCCGACCTCTTTTATCAATTTCTTGACTTCGGGTCAAGTCCTTTCGTTCTGATACTCACACTCGTTATCCCCAACCATGCGTCTCTCCAGCCTCTCGCTCTTCGTCCAGGCTCTGCTGTTGACTGCGGTCGCAGCCCAGAGTGGGATTGTTTCCAATGTCGTGTCGGATCTCACAACTGAGTCCACTTCATCCACCTCTGATGCCCCGAAAACAACATCGACCGCTGAATCAACTTCCACAACCTCGGAAGAGACTTCTACAACGGACCCAACTACTTCCGCCGAGCCTACTAGCACCCCGACTTCTACCACCTCCACCGAGAGTACCACTAGCGCTGATCCTACCACTTCGACCACTTCGACCACTGCTCCTACGGCTGATCCTACCACCGATTCTACCACCGCTCCTACTACCGCTGCTACCACCTCAGCAGAGCCCTCCTCCACAGCGGAGGCTACCGTCCCTTCAACCACTTCCACCGCTGATTCCACCTCCACGTCGAGTACTGGAGGCGATAGCACCACTTCTCAGAGCACCACTACCACCCAGACCCCGGTCGTGAAGACCATCACCTCCTACGCGACCAGCGATGGATCCACCATCGCCAATGTAGTGACCACCACTTCCACCCCCGTTGCTTCTCCCTCTCTTAACGGCGACAAGAGCTCCGGCTCTAGCGGTGTGTCTGCTTCGGACAAGAAGATCATCATCGGTGTCGTGGTGGGTGTCGGCGGTGCCATCCTGATCGGTGCCCTGGGCTTGGTCTTCTGGAGAATCCACAAGAAGCGCAATGAGCGCTACGGCGATGAGGACGATCTGATGGGTGGCACCGCTGTGGGCTCCGGTCCCCGCGAAAAGGCCCCCAGCCCAGCCGGCAACACCCCCTTCAAGAACACACTAGACCAGTACCACAACCCTGGTCCCGTCAACGCGGCGTCTAACTTCTAGGTCTGCGTTGACTCGACACTTGTCGAAGTGTAAATCTTGTACGATCTTCATGCTTTTCTCAGGCGCTATGGACAGGGTATGCGAGTTCACGGTTGCGTTCTTCGGTTGCCAAATTGCTTCTCTTTTTTTTTTTTGGGCGTTTGACACCCCACTCCATTCATTCTAGATTGAATATCTGCGCATTTTTGAGCGTTTTTGTTTCGGCAACCACCACATTCCTTTTCTCGCGATCGCGACTCTCGATCCCTGCGTGACTGACAAAAATGCGGCACTACTTTTCCGTTCTGCCTGTTGTTCTATTTTTGATTCCCCGTATCTAAGCAATTAGTTTCGTCCTATGACGAACCTCCATTGTGCCTTGACCAATATTTTATTCATTTACCTTTTGCAGCATCGGACGTCACAAGTTGTATAGTGTTGATAGACGTGTGCTGCAAAGGTCCCTTCTATCTTGATCTGTATGTATGTAATTCAAGGCAAATGAAACCAACCAGTGAACCCATTCAAAGTATTATATGTCAACTAGTCCATAGGCATCGATCAATCCATGCCGATTAACATCCGCGTTGTTCCGGAATGCGAGATGTTCTCAGATTATACTCTAGAGAGAGTTATTCAGTTGTTGATGGTAAAAGACAATGTAAGAAACATTAAGGTCAACGGACAAGGGTATTGTTGAAGCAGAAGCTCTATAAGGCGAGTACAATGGTTGCATGAGGATCACTGCCAGTTTAGAGATAATCAGCATTTGGGTTGCCAACCCTAGCGACTAAGGAAGGTTTGAAGCAAAACCAGTGTGGACTTCCTATTTAGTGTAAGTTTCGACTATCTACGCTAGATCAGCCGGGTAAACTATAGAGATAGCACGATCTATGTACGGGGTACATGGTATCTCATCTTCCCCGCATCTAATCTACCATGAGGCGTTCAACGGGTATAACCGCCAAGAGATATGCGCCCGCTGCCAAGAAATCCGCTACAACCGCAATATGGCCTTGCGAAATTATTGTTCAACCAGCCAAGCAGGCAAAGTATAGGGAGGAGATCCTAAAATAAAGACCCCAAATCAAGCAAGAATCTAAACAATTATAAATGATGTCATTGAGGCGCCCAGCTGTGGACTTACGGTCACCCTGGGCATAAGCTGACTCGAAGGAAGCGTATAATGAAGTCCTTCAGCTGGTGTGGGATACATAAGTTTCTCCTCCGTAATATCATACTGGACTGATCCCCCTATAATAGATAAGCAGATCCAGCTCATCTTTCAATATATCAAAGAAACGATTCAGCTCACCCTTGCACTCTTTCTATTGGTTGCTTCCGCCCTTGCAAAGGATTGCAAGCTCCCCTCTAGCCTTGAAGGTTGTGACAAGCTCTCGTGTCCTGATAAATGTCTCGGTAATCGCTGGACAGTGGGGGACAATATTGTCATTGGAATCAGACTATCGCATCCCGATGTTCCCTCGTCCTTCGAGGAACCTTTGCATTGCTGTGGATATCATATTGGATGGATTGTTTGAAATAGGCAAACTGTGTTAAGTGTTATTAACTGGTTCATTGTCGAATATCTAGTATTCAAATCAAATCGTGAATCATGATGTATGGGCCCCGGCCCCTTACACTCCGGAGTAGAACGCGCTAAATTAGCGCGACTGTCCCAACAAGGACTTTATCTCTCCATCAGACCTCTACAACATACGGAGCAAGAATTTACCTTGTTCACTCTCGAGTCTCAATCAACACCATATACCTACATAGTAGCCCTGGAACTAAACCCCAATCTTGGAAACCACAAGAACCAACCGACGCATCCGACTTCCGCATCCGACCCACGGATACGCCAGAAACCCATCACCAACCCCATAACCATCCACCATCCACATTATCACAATGTTCGCAACACAATCCCCCCAAACCCCCTTCCGCCAATCCCACTACACCCCAACCCGCTCCTCCCCACTCCGCAAGCACAGCACCACCCCTCCACCGTGGACCATGTCCCCGACGCGCAACACCCAAGGCGCGTCGCAAAACACCGCACCAAACCCATTCAGCAACCCGCCACCGACCTTCAACATCCAAACCGAGCCAATCGCCCGACACACGCAAAACCACCAATCCCCAATCCCAGTGCACTTCAACGCGTCCGCCTCAGCCTCAACAACACCAACCTCAGCAAACCCATTCCTCATCCACACCCAAACACCCACCTCGCCGTCCTCCCCAACCCGCCAGAAACCAAAGTACGAAGCACGCTACGCTTCTACGATTGCGAACCCGCTTCAGGGTGCGGCGGGTCTGGCGCGCGCGAAAACACGGAAGATGTTCCTTAATCGCGTGCGCCATGAACGTGACGATGGACGCTTTGAGGCGCGCGGGGAGCAGATGATGCGTATGGAGCATCTTGCTGATCGGAGGAGGTGGGAGGAGAGTATGGCGAGAGATGGGGATGCTGTTGTTGGGTTCGAGGAGGAGGTGGATGAGGATGATATGCTTCCCGGTATGTTTTTTCCCCTGGTTTCATTAGGTTTGATTTGTGGATATATGTATGCATTGAAGATAGGGTGGACATGATGAACGGCATCTGCTAACGTTCTGGTTTTGGTAGATGATGCTGATGCCCTTGATGAGTTTATATCTCAGGAGGAGGCTATGGAGATGGCTCTTTGGGAGACGCAGAGGGGTGTTCCTGGGAGGGTTGAGGAGTTACAGTCTAATGGGACCGGTGTTCCATTTAGTGATGATGAGTATGATGATATCTTTATGGCATTGTCGGAGCCTCAAGGGGGTCAGTCTCAGTCTCAGGATATGGATATGTCGTGAGCGGGCTAGAGCTAAGGGTTAAGTGTTGATTTTCTTTTGCGAGGCATTGCATTGGGTGGCGTTTTCGGTCCATTTGGGCGAGATCCGGGTATGTACATAAACTAAACAAGGGTATATCGACGTGGGTTGCGCATGAGACGGACGATGTATGAGTGATGGGAAAAAAGCAAACCTTGGCATCAAGGCGATATCTTCCTTTCAAGCTTCGATCATACATTTTCAAGATCATATCACTGCTGTGGGCAATCAGGCACTCCGCCAGCTCCACCCATCGCACCTCCCAAGTCCTCCATGAGGGGATTCGAAACTAGTTCATCAGGCGGGCTTCCCGCCGCTTGCATCTGGAGACATAGTCAGTAAATGAAAGAACCAAGATATCTCGATTCAAATATAGTAAACTCACCTCTTGCATTTTCTCCCACACATACTCTCGACACTTGGGATCATCATCCGAGAACCCCTTCTCCTCAAACTTCCCCACAATCTGCTTGACAACCCGCGCCTGCGTCTCAAACCGCTCCATATCCTCAGCCGAAACCTTGCCACTGTTTTTATTCTTCTCAATCCACGGCCCGAACTTGACGTCCAATTCCTTCATCGGCTCATACAGCATCTCCTTGTTGGACAGCTGCTCCATCATACCCAGGAACATTTTCGACAGGTCTCCGTCTTCGCCAGCACCCGATGCCCCCGCCTCAACCGCCTTAAGCAGCTGTGCTAGCATATCATCTGAAATATCGTCTTCATTACTTACCGCGGCGGTAGCTTTATCACCACTTTCCTTCATGCGGCCCATTGTGCGCTTGATAGCGTCGTTGAACGAGTCGGCGGCTTGCTCTGCGCCTACGCCTGTGCCTGCAGTTGCCGTACCAGAGGAGCTCTGAGTGCCAGGAGCAGCGATGCCAGCCGCGGCTGCAGCTGCCGCAAAAGTCTCTGCCGAAGCTCCAGCTCCAGAACCGCCCTCCTCGGCCATCACGTCGGCGAGGAGCTGCTTGAGGAAATCACCTGGCGGGATCCCGCTCTCTTCGAGCTGTTTAGCAAATACATCAGCGCCTTGGTCGACAGTTGCTTGGAAGTTGGGATCTAAGCTGCTCCCGGCGGCCGCGCCTGGTCCCATCATGCTCGCCATCTCTTGTTCGAGTTGCTTGAGGAAGGCATCTTCGTCGAAGTCTGTGGGTGAGGGATCCGAGTTGGTGATGGCAGAGGGTGCGGGTGGGTTTGCAGGAGGGGCGGGTTTGGGTTTGTTGAAGTCATCGAGGACGTCTGTAGGTATGAGTATCTGTTCACCCTGGAGCGGTGCGGGGGAGCGGGGGCGGGGTGAAGAAGAGAGGCGGGTATGTGTTACCATCTAGCTCATCGAATTCCGAGTCTTCGTCGTCATCTGCAGCCGCTTTCTGCGATTGTGCTAGTACTGGTGCGGGTTCAGATGCAGGTGCAGGTGCTGGTGCGACGTTGGTTTGTGGCGCGGGCTGAGATTCCTGTGTGGTTGCGGTGGGAGCCTCTTCGGGGCGGTCCTCGGTGGGCAAGGAGGTAGCCATATTGCGCAAGAAGAATAACCTAAGCAAGTATGATCTCAATTGAAAATATGGCCCGGTCGGAGTTAAGCTTAACTTTGAGGTAAAAAGAAAGTCTGGAGATGAGGTTGACATGTGACGGGTGTTTGGCGGGGTGCCGATCGCCGAGGTTTCTATGTATTTTGCCAGTCCTACATAGGCAATGTTGTGTACTACTATAGTATAGTCAACTATATGATTTAGAAGTGAGGATATTGATTTACTTTCAAAGTCAAAGTCACCGTTCTCTATATTGCTATAAGGCAGATCTAATCGAGATCGCCAAACTCTGTCCATGTACAAAGTACCGGCATATAGAATAAGATCTAGTTCACTACTGCATACCTAGTTAGCATCTCCAAATTGTACGTAAACAACCTTCTCCGCATCTTCCCATGAGATCATCCAGAATATCCAGTCCTTGGCATACCACCCCCCGCATAATTTCAACCAGGTTGTTCCATGCGAGAAAAATCTGCAAGGCATTCCAAGTCCGGGGAAGGTGCGTCATCCCACGATGATCGCCCATTGGTCCCCGAGGGAAACCAGTCGGGCGCCTGATTCGCTTCCAGGTGCCCCAATGGGTCAGGGTCGTAAGATCATGTGGCTTCTGGATAGGGCGGAAGACACCGAAGCTCCCATAGCGGTTATAAATGGGATGATCTGGTATGCCGGTATCGGCTATACGGGTTTGCGCATGACATGCATTCAAGGTTCTGGGGCAATGTTCTCAATCATTCTCAATGTGTTGCAACTTGCAGGCAGTTTGCAAGTACAAGCTGCAAATGCAATATACAATATTGAATATACTCGTCTTTTTAATTACTCCGTACAGCATACCGTGGAACTGAAACACCCCCCCACCACACAACCTTGGTGGATCATACATCCGAGAATAAGGCCATTCAACTAAACGTGGAACCACCCAAAAAAAGCCTTTTCTTCCCAATCCAGTTAGAAGGTGGAAAAAAAGAAGAAAAAGGAAGGCGAGAAGAAAAGAAAAAGAAAAAAACGAAAAAGTCAAAGAGTCCAACCTGGGCAGGTACGCGAGAGCCCCTCCTGACCGGACAGAATTTTTCTTTCTTTTAGTCAATTGTTTTACACAGGTATTTTCTGTTTCCTCTTTTATCTCAATTCCTCTGACTCTTTCTTTCTCATAATTCGGTTTTCTTTATGTCACAACTTGAACTCCCTCTATCTCGCACGTCCCTTCTGAGTTAGCCGCGCGTGTGTGTCTCTCTCTTTCCCCTTTTATCCTTTTTATCCTTTTTCTTTTTTTCTTTTTTCTTTTTCTTTTTTCTCTCTTTTTTGCCGGCCAGCAGGTCCGGCAACGCGGGGAAAACTGGCTGTGTCTGTTCCGTGTGCGGAGGGCCGCCTACAGGCTTGAATTAGATTATATAATGGTCTCGATGGTTGACCATAGTGATATGGTCATGGACTCAATCGCGCCTAAACATGAACCCGGTCCTGATGGCTCCATCAGTTCCGCCGTCTCAACACCAGATCCGGAAGCCGAACCCTTGACCCAGGATGCCGCGCAGACTCAGAAGAGGAAGGGAGGCAGGAAACCTGTACGTAACATCTTCAACCTGGGGGGCCCCGCATTCCTCCTTTGTGTCACAGTCTTATCTCCTTTGCATTGTATACTAACCCCCCTTCAGATATATGCCACCTCCGAAGAGCGAAAGCAGCGCAACAGACAGGCCCAGGCGGCCTTCCGAGAACGCAGGACGGAGTATATCCGTCAGCTAGAGACCACCATCAAGCGCAATGAGGAATCTCTGCAGAGTCTGCAGCAGAGCCATCGCAGCGCCGCCGATGAATGTCTAATGCTGCGGTATAAGAACTCCCTGCTGGAGCGCATCCTCCTTGAGAAAGGTACCCCTTACCCTGAACCTCCGGTCCAAACTTCAACTAACTCCCAACCCCTTTATCCAGGCATCGATGTACAAGCCGAACTACGTCTGAAAACAGGGGCGCCGGGCGCCCCTCTCAAGGCAAACCCTATGCCCCCAAAGGCACCTAATGTGGCAGGGGGCCGCCCGAACCAGCGACACCCTGCAGGTATCGCCTCGAAGCCCGAGGCGTTCGGCATGTCACAGCGGGAAGGCGCATACGGGATCCCGTCACCGCAGTTCCAAGCAACACCGACCTCCCACGTTTCATCGCCCTCGCACGCCAAGTCCCCCGGTTTCGGCTTCCAGGGCGCCATGTCACCTGTCGAGGCCGGACGGCCCCAGCTTCTCCCCCAACCCCGGTCTTTCGGTCAGAGTTCGCCGCCGGCAATCAGTATGCCGCACAACGAACCGTCAGACCCCAAGGCTCAATCCCGTGGGGGAGCTATGGGGCCCCGCGGTGCGCGGGTCGCAGCGGCTGCTTACTATCCTTCTCCATTCCAGAAACACTACGATCAGCTCGGTAAGCCTCTCTTTGACTTTGTTACTTAGTTCTTCCCCGGCTGACCTTTCAAGCAGAGCAAGAGTACGATGCCCAGGCCGATATGGTCGACGATGACCACGATGGCTCAGCATCTTATGTCCCTGGGTACACCCCGCAGTCCGTCGCCTCGGGCTCCCACATGTCCGGTTTCAACCAACCACCAGGCGAGGGCACACCCAGCGATTTCGGCAATGCAAACCAGCTCCTCGGCCAGTACGAGCCGATGATGGACACAGATCCGTTTGGGTTAAGCGCTAGCATGCACTTCCCCACACCGTTCAATTACGAGCACAACAACTCGAGACAATAAACTAAATTTGTCTACATCCTTCTCTCTTATTCTCTTGTTCTATATTCATATATCCGTCCATCTTATGTGGCAAATGACCATCTCTTCCCTAAAAGTTTGATTTGAGCATTCTCCGGCGTTGTGAGGGTTTTGATACCAATGTTCTCCCCTGGTCTTCTCAGAGGTATATTATGTTACATTTTGTACATGAATCGAATCTTTCCATCACGGCAGTCAGCAAATGTAACTTACATTGCATATTTCCAATCTACTAAACCTTCAACGCTCTAGGATCAATGATACTCGTATCCCTAGTAAGCCCCGCAACGGTCTTTAAAATCTCTTTACGTCGCAAACTCGCCTGCGTTGCAGTGAAGCTCTATATTCATCTTCCAGGATATAGAAGATATTATAGTTACTACTGATTTATGATGTGCCCTGTGTCTGCTGGAGGACTCTTTGCCCGAGGCCAATTGGCTTAGCACCATTCTCATTTTTGTATCAGATACTACATACGCTGCAAAAAATACGATGTGAAAGTCCCTGAGTTAACCCATAAGGCACTTTGGATATTCTAATCATGCTACTTGTAGGCGAGCTAGAGGGAATATCTAGCTTGCTACTATGGAGTTAAGTAAACAGTTATGTCCGAGTTGTACATGGTTCTTTACTCGATGGCTCAATCTATCAAACGTCATGACATCGCTTTCTGTATAGCTTTCATCATATTCCATTGCATTCTTCAAGCAAGTTGTATACATTTGTACTAGGGAATCCCTAATTCCCCTGGCTTTCACCTTCTACATTTTAAGTTTCGTCAACCTCATTCCCGATCCTTTACACTCTCTCGTATATCATGACATTCATTTGTACTATGCACGTCTTCGTACCTAAGGACACCGACTTCACTGGCAGAGCAGTTGTCAACGAGCCCATAGCCGCCGTTCACACGGTCACAGGCCTTGCCTGCTCCGACGAAGCTGCCGCTGCCTTGGCAGCGAAAGACCTTAGAGTACTCCGAGGTTCTTTCCGAGACCTCGAGATCATCAAGCAAGGAGCCAGTGAGACAGATGGTTTAATCAACCTTGCATTCGATCACGACTTCAGCAAGTATGCGTAGAGCTGCCTTGATGAGAAAGAGACCATCGAAACTATAAGCTCGGTCCTGATAGGAACCAACAATCCTCTCATCACCACCTCTAGCACCTTGGGGCTCAAGCTATTGCTGAAGCTATTGGTCAAAGTACAAGGTCTCCCTGCTATATCAAAACCTCTTGACGAAGCGGGAAGTCTTAACAGCTTCATGTCTTTTGTTATGAACATTGATAACTCGACTTCATGCAGAAAGACCCAGGAACTCCTTCGCTGGAGCCACTTGCCGGAAGCTTTTGGATGGTATCAACGCCGGGTTTATGCACAGAATTGAGGAGTTGTCTTTCGCAACTTTTGGGGTTGGGCATATATCAGGACCGAAATGCATACCCAAGGGGAGAAACAAGGACCAATGCGATTGCCAGCCAAATGATGCAGCAATCCCCACCCCCACATGTCAACTTAAATCCAAACTTATCCATCCTACCTGTGCTATGGATAGCTCGGTGATTACATAGCTTCGCAAGGCTGGGAGTACGCAGGTGTTGTCCACAAGTCAGATCGACATACTCCACCGGGACATGTCCGCTCTGTGGAAGCTAATCAATGCATTACCATTTGATATACACACATAGTATCATATACAGAAAGGGTGAATATAGTACGTCCAACAACGAATAAACCCAGGTATACTCCCCAGAGCAGCCCTTGATGTAACGATTACGTAAGGTACCCTAAGCCCTAGACTGCGGGCAGCCAATCAGCAACCGCGGGCATATTCGCTTAGGAACAGAAGCCGCCTTTCCTGATTAGTCACCTTACACCCTGCAACCACAAACCGAGGACCTCTCTTCACCCTGCTCATTCATCATCATCAATCTTGACAGGCCGGATTCCCTTGGGTTCTGCCTTGTGCCCCGTTAACTCCTCTAGACCGATTGTCTAAAGTTGAGCGCCTCCCTCCGGAAGGTCTCCGAAACACAACAGGCGTCATGGCGGACGTCCGGTCCAAGGTACGCTGAATTGGAGCTTTCCTGCGCGCTGCTAGTGATGCAATGCTATATGAATCGCGATCTGGAAGCGATTTGCGGGGTTCAACGGATTTTTTTTTATGTTCATTAACTAATTCGAATTGTTTCTTCTAATATAGAACCTCTACGAGCTT